TCACCAGCGCCATTAGCAACTAGGGACTACGGTTCATACATACAGGTCAGGGAGTATGCGAGGTAAGAACAACTGCCAGGATGCCAATGACATTCTTTGAGAAACTCACTGAAACCTCACAAACACAGCTGATCACACTACTATAACAACACCTCTGTTCACACACAGACGAGAAGGGAGAGCTCCGATACACAGAGTTATGGAAAGCCGACCTGGGGGAGGAACTGGAGGGAACTGACTGGCAGGGTATTTGGGAGGCAAGTGATAAATCTTCCATATACGTCACGATACAGGAGCAATCCTACAAGACACTATTTAGATGGTACATGACGCCATTTAAGCAGTATCATATGAAACTCAGTACTAACGATTTATGCTGGTGGTTATGCGAACAAAAAGGGAGCTATATTCACATGTGGTGGCAGTACCCCAGGATACAGGAGTTCTGGCAGAGTGTGGGGACCCTGAGTTCTGACATTCTCCAAAGACAGGCGCCCCTGGAGCCATGGGCATGCCTACTGTCTAAACCAACTGACGGCCTCCACAGATATGAGCAGAAACTGCTTAACATGATCTACCTTGCAGCACGTAGAGACCAGGCACACCACTGGGCAAACCCTGACACCCCCCAAATAGCGCTTGTAGCAACAAACTACGCAACAATCATCTCATGGACAAGCTGACTGCACAGGTCAGAAACACCACCAACACTTTTCAAAATGTATGGGACTTATGGAAACAATACGACTCTTAACCATATAACCAGATCCAAACTGGGTGGAAGGCCACAGGCCCCCAGACTGAGGGTACACAACCTCCCACCGGCGTGAAAGGGGGGACCAGATGACATCCTGATTAAGACAGGAGCTGAGGCTCCAACAGCACAATACCACCTTCCTAACGGTACTCCGACATCGTAACACATAACCAAGCGAATGGGAAGCCTCATCCAGCCTAATCAGGCAGGAGGCACAGGAATACCATTCCTGACACACAATGACATGGAGATAGGGTAGACTTAGCTTACAAGATTATTACCTTTTGTTACACTATGTTATTGTTTCAAAAAGTACTGTTATTTTTATGGAAACTAATCTACAAAATAAACATGACGGCTCACTAACAGGCGAAGGAGGGCTATTTTGACAACATGCATTACCAAATATGTTTATCTTAGCTTTCTGTTTCAATGTATTGTTGTTTTATGCAACTAAAACGGCTTTTGTACAAGCCAATGCCCTACTGATGTACCACAACTTTACTTCATGACAAAAATAAAGTAAAAAAATAAATAAAAAAATACATTGAGTTAACTATCTGGTCCCTTCTGCGGCAACACTACTTTTTAGTTCACATTCAACACTATGCTTCCATTTTATTAATAAATAGTATTGAGGTGACAGCTGTCCTTTAAATGTTATATTTTTGAAGGTTAATTTAGCTCAGCATCATTAATTGTTAAGCAAGGATCACACAAATCACTGGATTATATACATCACGCTAAACAGAGGGCCGCGTATGTGGTCTTATTCCAGAATCTAAATAATCCCCATATATTTTATTATTGTATAGAATCCATATATTAATAGAGTTATTATATAGAATGCATATATCAATAGAGATAAAGTTTCATAGTAATGTTTAGTCAATACATTTGGACACTTAACTTTAAATTTTTTTGTTGGATATAAAATAGTGTTGTGCGTAAAGTGTTTTTTTTCCCTTTAGAATTTCATTAATCCCACCCTTGAATTCCTGAGCAGGTCAGGAGAGGGAAAGGTCTATAAAAACATATATTGTGATTACAAGCTGATTTTTTACTTTTTAAAACTAACAGATGTCTTACAAGCGGAATTGAGCTGGGATTGCCACTGCCAGAAACAAAGATCTATTAAATATATAGAATTCATATTGGCTTGAACTAAATAATATCTATGAACCTGTATATTTTTCTGTAAACTGAATAATATAAGTAAAGTTAAAAAGCAATTATTGGTAAGCTCAGTAAAATAGAGCATTTTTTAATTGTTTGCATAGCTTAGTGATAGATATATATATATATATATATATACATTATATTTTATGACACGGTGTAATATGTCGTGTTGTTGTTCAACTGAGGTTGTATTTACCTAATTTTAAGACCTGCTGAAGAACAGATGACTGTTATTATGTCCTGACATGTAAAACCATAGAATTTTATAGGCTTAATATCAGTACATAATAACAATCATCTGGAAGAAAATACTGGATGAAAACGATCCACACCTACAAAACTGTTTAACTCCTGCAAGGCTTGCCTGGTGACGTAAGTAGACTGTCTGGGGATAAACTATCGGCTATGCTTCTATTTCAGCTACTTTGGCTCACTTTGAATTCTCCCTTTAGTGAATAACCCTGTACGATTTGTTGTCTTTGCAAACCAACCACAAAGTGGTAAAGGCTCTCAAAGACAGCAGGGGTATGTAAATGTTCCTCCTGGTTCAAGAGCCTCACATTGTTGAACCTTTCAGCCAACAGATTGCAAAGTCTGAGTAGTAATTATTATTATTTTTTCTGATGTATTTTTTTTATCATGTGTTTTTGTGTGCTTTTTATTATTATTATTATTATTTTCTAAATGTTACAAAGGCATATTCAATTTACAAAATGAAATTGAACATCTCCAATCCTGACATCAACAGGTGTGAATTATTATTTTTATTATTATTTTTATTTTATTTTTTCAATTTGACAATTTTTATTAAGTATTTTGTTGGGGGTGGGGAGGATACAGAAGAAAAATAGGGTTGGTTACTGGTATGGAAGCATAACATGCATTGTGTCTATTATCTTTTTAGGTACCATTCAATTGACAACATCTGATTTATACAATCTCCATTGGTAAGAGACATCACAGTACATCTGTCTTCAATTACGTCTCACTTACATCATTTGTTACATCCTGACATTGGTCTTGCTCATTTCTGGTTGTATTGCAAGTATGTCTTGTAGTTTAAAGTCACAACTAACGTCACGAGGCGTTACCCAGTGGGTCTGAGTAATTGGATGCATAGGCAGGGTGTTTACATCTGCTTGCTCTTAAGTTTTTGCATATTCAGGGTATTAGTGGAGAGGGAAGAGAGGGGGAGGATGGGAATGAAGAAAGTGGGAGGGTGGAGGGAGGGGAACTGGGTGATAGCTTTGCTGGTGGGAGGTAAGGCCTCCTGACCTTGGTTGCGCACATGCATAGGATGTGGAGTGTGAAAGCACTTGTGTTTGCACCCACTTTTGCAGGTAGTTAAGTAATTTCTCTTTTGATATCACTCCTCCGCCTATCAAATGGGGAGTGTGAAGACGACATCTCACATGACCTCAGTGGACATACTTTTTTTTTTGCTTTGTTTGTGAACTTCATTAGAGTCTTAGCATTACATAATCATCCCACATTGATTTTGCCCTCGTTGTGAGTGGGTTTGCCCTAATACACTTATTGGCCATAGCCTCATACTCCCAATTCATTGAGCTGTGACATATGAGCTGTGTAATCCGGTGGTTGTGAGGACTTCCAAGCTCGGGCTATAAGGGTGTTGGCAGCTGTAAGAACTTAGAAGATCAATTTCAATTCGAGTTTGGACCATCTTTAGTGTTTAATAAACAGAAGGCAGTGTTCGGGCTCAAGTTGAAAAGGAGATTTTAACAGCCCTGAGATTATACTGCCCACCATCTCCCAATAGGGTTGTTTTAGTGGACATATCTACTAAGTATGTAACATGATTCCAACTGCATTATGGCACCTCCAGCACATGTTACTTGAGTTTGGATATATATGGGCCAATATCTCCGCAACTACGTACCAACAATATTGAATTTTCCACATGGTCTCGAGATTTGAGGCGCTTGCGGATTTGCCTTTGTGTGCCATAAAAGCCTGTGTCCACAGTTGCCTACTTAATGTAACCTTTAATTCCCTATGCCAGGCTGTGATGAACCCTGTTTCTGGCCCAAAGTTGGCAGCCATTAGGAGTTCGTATGTACTAGACATGACTTTTTTGAGGGGGGTCTTGGACATGCATAGTTTGTTTCTCAAGTTGGAAGTGGAGGTTACTTGAATTCAGGATGGTACAATTCCTCTGAACAGATGACTTTAATTGTAGATATTTTAGAATATTGGAAAAGTGCTCTAGAAGGTAAGCTGAATTTACTCTGTATGTCTGGATTGGATAGCAATTTTGCGTTTTCGAATAGATGCCATAGGTGGGTGCAACCTTTCGAGGTCCACGGGGAGGAGTCAAAATTGGGTATGATTTTACTCATGCCGCACATAGGGGTGGCCAAGGAAGTCGGTCCGACCATGCACAGCAACCCATGAGTCTCATCCCACACCCGGAGTGTCAATGCAGTTGTAGGCAGGATTGTCAGAAGTCTGGGTCTCTCTCTCTTATGTGTCCAAAATAGTGAACTAAGGCAATTGTTAACTGTCCAGTAGGCCTCAATAGCCACCCATTGTGGCGCATCTATTGTGGAATGCGTGGTTACCACCGCTGTCAGCACTGCGGCTCTATAGTATTGTCTAACATTTGGTGGGCCCCAAGCCCCCTTCTGTCACTGGTTGTTGTAGGATCGATATAGCTATTCTTACTTTTTTATTGCTCCAAATGTAGCGGACCAGGAGTCTCTGCAGTGTGTGAAGAAAGATTTTGGAGAGAGAGATAGGCAGTGTGCGCATAAGGTATTGAAATTTGGGTAACAGTGTCATCTTTATTACCGCCAATCTTCCCAGCCATGACAAATATTGACCCTCCCATTTACTCAACGTATATTTAAAGTCCTGGAGAAGCCTTTTATAATTGTATTTAAAGAGGTGTGATACATTTTTAGGGTTTTGATGCCTAGGAAAGTTACATAGTCGTTACGCCAATCAAATGAGAAGGAACTGTGTAAAGTTGACATGAGTTGCGCGTGTAGATCCCGTATCTTTCTATTTCTTTCAGTAAGTTACGCAATGAAACTTGGGGTTGCGTTAATGTAAGGAGCTTGTCATCCGCAAACAGGTTTGTCTTGAACTCGCTATCTCCCACCACAACTCTGTGTATGGAAGCATTTTCAGGAATTGCCACTGCCAATGGTTCGAGAGTCATTACGTAGAGCAGTGGTGACAACAGGCATCCTTGGTGGGTGCTATTGGTGATTTCAAAGGGAGCTGAGAGAAACCCCGCGTTCAAGACCTGTGCCGCCGGTGCATGATACAGAGCGCTGACCACCGACCGAAAGCCAGGACCTTTGCAAAAATTTTGGCGTCCGTATTAAGGAGAGAAATAGGATGGAAATTTTGTGTTGGTTGTCTTCCAGGCTTTGGAAGCGTGACAATGTGCGCAAGCAGTAACTCCGGAGGCAAGCTCTGGAGAGAGACTGCCTCAGTGAAGGCTTGTGTTAACTGCGGGGTCAGGACATGTTTAAACGCCTTGTAGTATTGGTTAAGGAAGCCATCTGGGCCTGGTGATTTTCCCTGCGGCAAAGATTGTATAACTTTTAAAAATGTCACCCTCAGTGATGGGGTATGTTAGCAAATCTTGTTGGGCGGCTGTCAGTTTGGGTAGGGGAATGTAATGTAAGTAATCTGTAATCTCTTTGGTTGTGGGTTGATTGGTATTGGGGTCATTTTTGAGATTATATAGCTTGGTGTAATATTGGGCAAAAGCCAAACTAATGTCTTTCGGAGCTACAATTTTATGGCCTTAAGGGGAGATGAGGTAAGCTATTTTCTGCTTGTCTTTGCCTGAGTCTATGGGCCAGTAGTTTGCTGGCTTTGTTCCCCTGGGAGTAGTGAGTGGCTCTCAGTCCTTTGAGGTTATAGCCTATCTTGTCTAGTGCATGTTGATTTAGTAGTTTGGAAACCTGTGAGATGCGTTCTTTCAAATATGGTTTAGGATCAAGTTGGTTCTGCGTCAGATCGTAAAGTTCTTTTTCCCTTTTGCGTGTTTGGTAGACTAAGCTTCTGCAGAGATATGTTGACCTGCGAATCAATAGGCACCTTACCTCGGCCTTATGGGCCTGCCACACGGTGAGTGCAGGGGTGGTCTGATGTGAGTTTTCAATTTAATATTGTTCCAGAGCTACAGTCAGCTCCTGAGTGAACGTAGGGTTCTGCAAGATGGACTCATTGAGCCTCCATGGACTTCTATGTTTAGTATCATAAATGTCACAGTGTCATGGTCACTGGTGCATGGTTGAACCAAGTCAACCACCAATGTTCACACTTCATAACTTGTTCTAGAGCGTGGCCTCCGTAGGTGGTGGGTGTGTAATAGTTTCAATATAGCTGCACTCTGTCGTTTGAGCGTCTGAAATCGGGCACCATCGTGGGCCAAGGTGGAGTCAATAATGGGATCGAAGACGTGGTTAAAGTCTCCACATATAATAATGGTGCCTTGTTGTATGGTAGACTCCTGGGACAGAATTTTGTGCAGGAAATTACACTGTTGAACATTAGGTGCGTATATATTAACAGTTGTGTATATGACTATTGAATTCTCCTATTAGAATTACATATCTCCCTCCTGGGTCTAGGTAGGGGGCTGTGAGTGTGAACGCTACATTTTTGCCAATGAGGATAGAAGCCCCCTTCATCTTAGATTGTGAGGTGGCATGGAATTGGTGCGGGTAATCTCTGTGTGGGATGTTGGTCTGTTTTGAAATGTGTCTCTTGGCTATATCCGCCTTATGGGTTTTCAGAGGTCTCCTAGTGGGGATGTTCAATCTCTTTGTGTTGAGGGAGAATATTTTCATGGAGGTTTAGTCACTTGAAGAGAAGGTAAATTATTGCTTGACCACAATTGAAATCGGGGTGCTGCAGTTCCCAGTTCTATCGAGCACTGCAAGCTACCCAAAAGAGCACAAGTGGGTGTGTTATTGAGGGGAGTGGAGATTGTACGAGTCTCAGGTTCCTCATTATGTATACAATACCAGTCAGGAAAGGTCTCTGGGTAGGCGGAGCCTCCCTCCCATCCAACAAAGAAAAACCATAGAAACAAAAACAGGGATATACAATGGAATGTAAACAAGGGGGTAGGGATGTACGTTGTGAATTTAACATCGTTATAGAACTAAAATATGCTTGTGAGCATATTTCGCACCGCTGTTGTGTGCTGTGGGGGTGGAGGCTTATGGTCTCTACGTGTTTGTCCTAAGGAACATCGGAGGATGGCCCAAATTGTGAGATTGATATATCAGTGGACCCATATCATAAGAGTAGGTACATATATGAGATAAGGAGTGCAGCCCGTCACCTAAAGCAGTGAGAATATGGTAATGGCTGAGTGGTATCTCTTTCAGTGCCCTGAATGCTGCTGTAGTATTCACCACTCAGAGTGTGCTGGGGAATACACCATGGGAATTTAGGTGACCACGCAGTCTGCACAGTCGGAGATGGACAAAGAGTGGTTCACTCATCGGTTTACTTGATTCAATGTCCTCCTGACTGATGCAACCCAGCAGGCAAGTGCCATGTGCAATGAGGCAAATACAAAGAGAGGCAGGGGGAGGGAAAGGCTAAGAAAAGCAGCCCACTCGGCCCTTTGGTCAAGCTTGGCCCCCATCTGAGTATTATATTCAAGCAGCCTGTACCTGAGGGGGGTGTTGAGGAGGCCAACCTCACCAAATAAGCAATGAGGTACAGCACATGTGCCTTAAGCGCTACAAACAGCATGCGGGATGTACCCAACCTAATTAGCTAGAAAATAGGAGTATAACAATAAACATAGAACCAGAATCATGAAATGCATAAGTATCAGGCTGGATCAGCTCTTGTGCTTGTGCTCTCATTTTTGTGGTTTGCACCATTCAAGGGTGTATCTGTTCGCCTGTGTCAGTATGGTAGGAGAGTCTTGTTCAATGCCCCATTTTCTCAGGATCTGGATTCCATCTTCAGGTGTGGAAAGGATGGTCATCTTGCTGTTTCTCTGGACAAGCAGCTTGGTAGGATATCCCCACCTATATTGAAATTGGCTGTCTCGGAGTAGTGCTGTGATTGCCAAGAATGCCTTCTGCTTCCTTAATGTGTGTGCAGATATGTCTGCAAAGGTCAGGATCCCCGCGTATGGCTGTGCGAGCTCCTTGGTACGCCTGCTGCCTTTTAAGAGTGCTTCCTTGATATAGTAATAGTGTAGACGCACCAATGTATCTCATTCGGTAAGGATTTGGGGACCCTGTGTATGCGGTCCAGTAGCATCATATTCCCATTCTACTAATTAGTTTTGAAGCTGATTTTTCTGCACTTTTTCCTGTTCCCCAATATCTTTCTTCAAAACTGGTTCACAAAATTGCAGTGTACATTCATAGTGGGACCTAAGCATTCATTTATGAAGAGGTAAAATATGTATATATGCCAGGGTTCTTTTAGTGGTAAAATAGAACTTCTTGGTGGGGGTTCCCATGAACTGATTTGCAAACCCTCAATGCTGATGGCATCCTCTTCTCTCCCTTTTATGCCTCATTCTAAGGGTGGTGAGATCAATAAGTAATAGAACCCCTTGCGATCTATTGGAGAAGAAGGAAATATAGGAATTGATACTACAACACCACTACTTACAGCACCATACACTAGGGGTTTAATATAGAGCATTTGGTACCCGGGCGGGTCCTATTTTTGGCAAGCCCCTTCCCGACTTTAAAATATAAAAAACAACTGCAATTTAAAAAAAAAAAAAAATTATTTAGCACTAAGCAGTGTTTCTGTGTTTGTGAGTGTACGCATGTTTTTGTAAAGAGTGAATGTAGGGGGTGTGTTTGTATGTGGTGTTGATGTTTGAATGCAGGTATACATTTTTATGTAGTGTGGTTTTTGAATGCAGTGATGTGGTTATATATGATGGTGGGGTTTGTATGTAGTGTGTCGTTGAAATGCAGGGGTGTATTTGTGTTTAGTGTTAGTGAGATTCTGAGATGTATGCACATATACACATACACACACATATGTACACTGACACACATGCAGATACATAGACACATAGACACACAGCCACACACAGATACAGACACACAGCCACACACAGATACAGACACACATGCAGACACCGTGGCGACTCTAGGAACAATATATTGGGGGGGCAATTACAAATCTTTGGGGGGGGGGCACTAAAACCTTTCACTAGGGGATGGGATAATGTGATGCCATTGGCTGCCTCATGCCAGCATACAGTACACATTGGCATCAGTTAAGAAATTTGCATATAATTCATATTAGCCACCCAGATTTCTTGTTGGGTTGGCTGACACCCCTCAACTTCAATCTTTGTTTATCAGATAACTACCTTATTTGCTATCCTTATGTGGGATTGCCATATTTAAGGACACCAAATAAGGGAGCTAACTTCTAAACAGCACCCTAATTTGGTATATTTAAATATGGAAATCTCACATAAGGGCACCAATTTAGGGAATTATCTACTAAACAGCTAAAAGATCAAAATGAAAAAATAGCTTTTCTTAATTTCAGTTGTTTAGTAGATAACTCCCTTATTTGTTATCCTTATGTGGGATTGCAATATTTAAGGACACCAAATAAGGGAGCTATCTACCAAACACATACACACACATACACACACACACAAAAGGTGTATGTCTGTGGGTGTATATCTGTGGTTGTGTGCGTATACATACACACACTTAACCACAGAGATACACACACAATCACACACATAAACACAGACATACACAAACACAATCACAGACTCACACACAAACAATCACATACACACATAATTAGATTTACACACACAAACATCACATACATACACATAATTAGGAGGACCACCCAGCCTCCCTACCTTGCTCTGGGAGGGCTGGAGTGGATCCTCAGTCCCTGGTGGTCAGTGGTTGCTGCTGGGATCTCTGTGCTCTTCCTACACAGGTCCCTTGTGCACCCTGTAATGACGCAGATGCCGGCTCATTGCAGGGCGAAGACAGTCAGACACAGTCAGATGCACATAGTTATACAAATATACTGTCAAATACAGCCACATGCACACAGTCCCAGACACATAGTCACTTGCACACAGTCAAACACACAGTTACAGGCAGACAGTCACACACACAGTTACATACAGTCACACGCACACAGCTACAGGCAGACAGTTACACACACACACACACACAATTATAGGCAGACTGTAACACAGTTAAAGGCAGTATCACACAGTCACACACACTTAGTGACATGCAGACAGTCACAGTCAG